TCCTAAGTAAATCATCAATCGTTCTGATGGGTGAAGGAAACGTTGTAGAAGTCACTCTCCGATAACTAATATAAATAAAACCTCTTCCATCATTAGTTACATTAAATTCCTTAGCATCTCCGATGGATTTTAAACATTGATCCAAGCATTCAATAATTGGCCATCCTTGCTCTCCAACACTTTCACCCACAATAAATGGTGATGATGAGGTTTCTGCTGCTGTTGTTGTTGTATGATCTTTTTCTAATTCTTCTGAGGTTGGAGGTGATGATTGCTGTGGTTGTTGTTGTGGAATCATTTTTTTTGTAAATTTGGATGAACTTGTGAAATTGCACTTTTAAAAGGGTGAAAAGTGCAATTTGGTGGATTGCAGTGATATTGTTAAATATTGTTAAATATTTTTGTAATGAGTCAACTTGTGTGTACTATATTGTTGAAATTACTGTTCTTTATAAAAGAATCTAATTGGATTAGTAGAATGGAAATGTCCTACTTCACTACCATAATAAAAACATGTCAATTTTCAGCCCATGTGAATATGTTACACGAAATTAACATGTCATCTTGTTTATAAAAAAATGTCAGCACTCAAAGCGGTGATTTTGTTGATTTGCATTAGTGTATTTGCATCCTGTACTAATGCATGGGATGAGACTGCTACTAAGTACTTTGCTTCTAGAAAGCCATTTCACATGAAACGCCAAATGTCAGACCAACAATTTTTCATCAGAGCAAAGGAAAGAATTAAATCTCATACCAAAATGACAAGTAAAAGACTCATAGGACCTGATGGCTCATTGTCCAATAAGGATAACAAACAATTCTTTGCCTATGACGCTACATTGACTTTTGACACTGTCAATTTAGACATGCATCCTGACGTGTTAGATATTGGATGTTCGAAAGACAGACTTTACTTGAAAGTGAGAAAGACCAGACATACCAATACTCATATCAAGATTGGTTCATTATTAGTTTCAAGTATGGATGATTTTGACTGTGAAATTGGTCAACCAACTAATGAACCAGTTTTGTACAGATTGGCAGAAAATATTCATGAAGTGAAAACTGAAAATGGAGAAATTCTCTATGTGGTCGATACTAAAACAATTGAATTTAATCAAGTTTTCACACACATCAAACTTCAAACTCATAATCCAAGTGTCAAACAACCTGAATCGAGCTCTGTAACTCAAACAACACCAAACAAACGTTGGAGTGTCAATAGATCTTTTGATATTGTCAATTTTAATTGGGATAGAGATAGAAAAACTGCCAGAAATCCATCCATTGAAAATCAAGAAGGAAATTTCAAATATGTCTGCAGTAATTGTTATTTCTACAGTACAGTTCGGTTTACAATGGAAATTAACTTTAGATGGTGTAAACCAAATAGAGCTGCTGCATCAGTTCACTTTGACAATGCATTGAATGCTAATTTGACAATGACAGCTGAATTTGAAAAGACAAAAGACTTTACAATTTTGAAAAAGAAGAAAATTACTAGTATCAAGTTTACAATTCTAGCAATTCCAGTTGTTGTAAATGTAAATTTTGCATTGGAAGGTCAATTACAAGTTCAAGCAAAAATTCAATTTAATGTTGCCGCTTCCTTTTCAAGAGAAGGTCAATTTGGATTCAATTATGATAAGAGGAGAGGACATTTCAATTGGATTAAATCATTCAAGGGACAAGATTGAAATT